AGGTGTCATAGATGATGCATAGAGGTGTCATAGATGATGCACTGGGCCGGCAGGTGTTCTGAGCACTGCACATGTCCCACTATCGGTACAGCAGAGGGCACACAACCTATTCTGGGTAACTAGGGAGATCAGACTCACACTGGGTACCTATTCAGAAAGGTCAGTCGCTCTACCACACCAAACCAATATTAACCCCTGGCAGCTCTTACAATGGCCTGGTTGAACTTGGACTCGATCTCCCCCAGCAGCCAGTCGAAGGCCTCTCCACTCAGCCTGAACTCCTCGATCATCCGCCTGCTGCACAGTGTTGACCGTAAATGGATGTTAAACAAAAGCGTGGCGTTTTCCTGCGCCTGCCGGCTCAGAGGATCCTCCCCATTGACAATCACCAACTTCTTACTGAGGTCCTTCACACCTGGAAGAGATAAAGTGACCGGATACAAGAATGAGAACCATTGGCCCCCTTGTAGGGGAGGGCTACAGACCACAGATGGTGACTGGAAGCCGGAAGCCGGGGATAGTCTGCTCCAACTTTGTAATAGAACACATGACTCACCATCCACCACTTTTATGGGGTGCAGATCTGAGGGTATCCGGGTATTAATGTGAAATATCTTCTGTGCGTTCCATATCATCCTCAGCAGGTTACAAGGCAGCACAACCTGTTATAAGCACACACAGCAAATGAGAGTACTGCCATTGGGGGAAGCGACATGTTCTGCTGTGTATAGCGATTCTCCTACCTTACTGTCTCCTGTAGGGAAAATCACTCTCAGAACCTCTCTGTCCTCCTTCATCTTCTCAAACTCCTTCTCCAGCTCATTCTGGATGTGAGCATTGCTGAGAATATCCTTCACAACATCCTCCTGTAAAGTCCGGCGCAAGGCTCGCTCATTGTTGTAATCAAATTTAAACCTACAAAAAAAAAAAAAAGATCAGATTCAAGGTGCACACAAAATAGTCAGGAAAAAAATTATTGTATTCCATGTGCACAAACCACACATTCCCAACATCAGCTTTCCCACACCAACTTTGGGGATGAGCCTGCTATGCCCTCAGCCACCACCAGAGAGCGCCCTCACCCACCTCTCATGGTGCACTGACCTATGGGGATGAGCCTGCTATGCCCTCAGCCACCACCAGAGAGCGCCCTCACCCACCTCTCATGATGCACTGACCTATGGGGATGAGCCTGCTATGCCCTCAGCCACCACCAGAGAGC